ATCGTGGAGCCTCGTTGAACGACGGCAGCGACGAGGACGACGACAACGACGACGAAGACGACGACGACGACGGCGACGACGACGACGACGACGGCGGCGACGACGACGACTGAGAGGACGAGACGACAACGATGACAGTGACGACTGCGAGGACGACGATGAGTACGACGAATAACACGAAAACCTGTCCTACGAGCCAGCGCCTGGGTAGCCGTGACCCCCCAGTTTAGCTCAATCGCCCAAAATGGAAACCGAGAAACACACTTCCCAGGGACGACCACGACGACGACGACGGCGACGAGGAACGACGATGACAGCGACGACGACGACGATGACGACGACGAGCACCACGAAAACCTGTCCTACTTGCCAGCGCCGGGTCAGCCGTGACTCCCCAGTTTAGCTCAATCGCCCACATTGGAAACCGAGAAACACACCTGGCAGGAGCCAGCGCTGGGGTAGCCGAGACCCCACAGAGCAGCTCGCGTCCAGGATGGAAGTGCAAGGACGCCCGCGCCTGCTGCGGCGCGGGGCGCGAGCGCCGAGGGGCGGCCCCCGAGGATCCCGCGCGTCGCAGAGGACGGAAATCGGACCGCCCCGCAGGTCCGAGGATTGAGGATCGAGGAAGTTTTCGAGGAAGTTTTCGAGGAAGTTTTCGAGGATCCGTGTTGCCGCGCTTTCGACACCCAGGCTCGAGGAAGTCTTCGACGTGTTCGGCCTCGGGGGGCCGTTCTCGGCCCCCCCCCCTGGGCTGCCGGAGATCCACCCGGGGCGGCCCACCCTGCGTCAGGGGGGCGCCAGGAGAGGTCCTTCCGCCTCCTCTTCCTCACCCTCCCTCCCTCTCCCACATCCAACGTTCTCCCCCCTGCTCAGTCTCATTCCACCTCTTCCTCCTCTTCCTCCTCCTCCTCCTCCTCCTCCTCGTCCTCCTCCTGCCGCCTAATCCTTCCGCCTCATCCTCCTCCTTCCGCCTCATCTTCCTCACCCTCCCCCTGCCGATGTCGGCAACCCTGGGAAGGCGCGGCGGGAGGCGGTGCCGCCGCTCCGACGTCGCCGAGGAGGCGCCCTCGTCGGAGGGCCGCTCCGCCAGGGTCCGCCTCTGAGCCGGGGTTCGCCGGGAGACCCTTTCTGCTGGGCTGGCCAGGGCGAGGACCCGGCTCTCCCAGGCAGGGGCTTGGCGGCAGGCCGCGCCAGCCAGGGGAAGCGCCGCGCCCGCCACCCGTCGGAGCCCCCACAGGCTCGCGCGAAGGCCCAAGCGAGCCTGCGCGTGGCCAGCAGGCCTCTGTCAGTGCAGCTCGGCGCCGATCAACCGAGCGGCACCCGCTGCTGCCGCTCTGACGCCCCCAGGTCGCCCGCGGTGGAGCTGAGCTGGAGCTGAACATGCCCTGGGGCTGGAGCTTGGGCTGGCGCTGGGGCTCAGGCGAGACCTGGGGACCCGAAGCTGGGGCTGGAGCTGAGACTGGAGCGAAGATGTGGTTGGAGCTGGGGTGGAGCCCTGGAGCTGCACGTGAGGTTGGAGCAGAACCAGGGCTGGGGCTGAAGCTGGGGCCGGGAAGGAGCTCGTTGCAGTTGGAGCTGGCTCGCGCACCGCGCGCCGCGCGAAGCGCCGAGCGATGCGTCGAGGGGCACGCCCGCGCCCCGAGCCCCGCGCCCCGCAGCGCCTGCCTTCGAGGAGCCGAGCGCTGCGTGCGCCCGCGGCGCCCCTCGTCGGCCGCCGGCGCGGCCGTGGCCCAGCGGGGCCCTGGCGCGCAGCGGCGCGCCGTGCGGCTGCAGCCGGGCTTGGCATCGCTCGGACGTGTGCATTTTTCCTTCGGCGAGGACCATCGAGGAGCATCCTTGATCATTTGGCGAAAAAACCACGCACTAAACCGAGAAAAAAGCACAGGGAATGGACGTCCGAGCGATGGCGAGAGGGTCGTCGAGGCCTCGGGGGGACTTTGCGAGCCAAAGCTTTGCCGGAGCCGGCGGGAGCCGACATGCAGTCCCTTCCCTCTGCCGACCTGGGTTGGGCAGCCACTTCGCAGCTGGCCTGGGTTCGCGGCACGGCGCTCGCCCCTCCGAGCGGGCAGCGCGCTTTTCTTTCCCGCACGCGCGTCGAGGTTCCCCGGCTCCGTGGTGGTGCGTTGCCCGCGCTGGCCTGTGAGCCCCGTTTGGTCCGGCAGCTCGTCCACCACCGTCGCTCCCCGCTGCTGGTGCTGCACCGCTGGTGCAGCGCCCCTGGGTGCCGTGGGCCCCGGGGAGCGCGGCCCGTGTCAGCCGTGCTGTGGGTCCCCGAGCTCTCTGCAGGGAGAGGTTGTGGGACACGGTCCCCAGCGAATACGCGTACGGCAGGTTCGTGTCGTGTCGTCGCGGCGGCGATTCCGCCGAGGGCTCTCAAGGTTCAACGCCGCCAGTGGCCCGGGGAATCGATATGGAACGATCTGACGGTCGATAAGCCGCAGATCGTTCAAGGTGGAACGATCCACGCAGTGTCAGAAACCAGCACCGAGGCCGTCACGGCACGAACGCGCCGTAAAGCCAGCCCCCGGGCTATCCACACCTTGAAGGGCTCCGACCGCCCATGTTTTTTTCACGAGGTCCCCCGTCGAAGGCGGGTGATGGGCGTTCCAACCCGCGCCACGCCTCGTCGAGCCAATTCGTGGTCCAGGCAGAAGGCCAGCGTGGCGGCCGGAGCCGCGGCCTGCAGCCGGGCAGCGCCTTGGCGAGCCCAGGGGCGAAGCGGGCCGGCGAGCGCGAGGATCTCGGGTCAGCCTCCGAGGGGCTTGCCGCGCCGTGCAGATCGAAGACGCGACTTCCCCGCCCTCGATGTCGGCTCTGCCTCGGCATTTGGGCAACGCCCTCGCTCAGGCTTGTTGCTGCTGCCTTCGTTCTCTCTCGCTTGAGGCCCTCTTCCCACGCCCTCGCTTCTCCTCCTCCTCCCCCCTTCCCTCCCTCCCTCTCCCAGTTGTGCCCCTCGTCCCGCCACCCTCCCCTCCTCCCGCTACCTCGCCACCCTGCCCGTCCAGCCTCTCCTGATCCTGTTCGCCGCTCCTCCCCCGCCTTCTGTAGGATGGCGATTAGTCAAGAGAATTACCTTGGGGGGCGTAAAGCAGTAGTGGCTTCTGGTCCGAGTAGTTTGAATGGCCCCCCTTTCGCCGTCTTCATGCGAGCGCCACGATAGTCGACGGGGCAGATGGGGCTGAAGCGGACTAGGAGGAGGAGGAGGAGGAGGAGGAGGAGGAGGAGGAAGAGGAGGAGGAGGAGGAGGAGGTGGAGGAGGAGGAGGATAATGAGGTGAAGCGAATCAGAAGGAGGAGGAGGAGGAGGAGGAGGGAGAAGAAAAAGAGGATGTGGAGGAGGAAGGGTGAGGAGGAGGAGGGGGAGGTGGATCCACGGGCCTGGGTTTGCTCAGCACCCCGCGCCTCGTCCGTCCTCGTCATCCGCCGCCGCCGCTGCCGCCGCGGTGCGGGGCTCTGGTGCGGAGGGGGGTGAAGCTAGTTGGTCGCCGTCACCGTCGTCCACCGCTGGAGCTGGCGCTGGAGGAGTGGTGCCGCTGCTCGTCGCCGTCGTTGTCGTCACCGAGATACTTGTTCAGTCGGCCTCGTCGCAGCGCATTCCCCTCGGCAAGAGGCAATTCTACAAGCCGCTTCCACTGGGGCCGATGTCTTAGCCGTCGCCCTACATGACTTCCATCCTCCTGCCGTCCCCTGCGGTGCAGGCAAAAATCTCTTCGAGGGGAGCGTGAAGTCTTACAACGAGCAGAAAGGCTTTGGCTTCATCAGCTCGGAGCAGGTGAAGAAGCTGTTCAATGGGAGGGACGCGTTTCTGCACAAGGACTGGACGAGAAAGATAAAGATATTGAGGCAGACTCAAACAAGCATTGGCCGAGTTGTCGGCCGATTCAAACAGACTGGAGATGCTTGGTCGGAGTTGTGGGGGAAAGCACCGTTTTGGGCAGGGTCTGGGGCCCCGGCCGGACCCCAAACTATCGCGCATCCTGCTCCCAGTTTGCGAACCAATCCCTGCGGGCAAATTGCAGGGCGGTTCCGCGGGGGAGGGGGGGGAGGCAGAGATCAAGCAGTGGCGAAGCGTCTGGGCGTGCCCACGGGCCCACCAAGCAGTGTTCTAAAAACAGTTTTATGGTTTCCCACGAAATGTTCTAAGAACACTTCTGGCTGGGGCTGTCTTGTTTTAACGCATCGGGTCTGTGGTCTAAGATAGTTGTTTTGGTTCTTAGAACATGTTTGGGTTCAAAGAACATGTTGTGGTAGGCTTACAGGAATGCCGCGACGGTCGGTCCCTGCTCCGAGAGAGTTGGCCGCCGAGAGTCGACATCGCGCCACCGCCGCCTTGGGAGATTTGTTCGTTCACGATGGTGGGCACGTGAAGGGCATGTGCCGAATGTATACATCGGCCTTCGATCCATCCCGCCACCGTGCCTGGGTTGTGGGCCAGGGGCCTCTTGGCTGCCTGTCGGGGTCTCTCGGGGTGCCTCTCGGAGGACTCTTGAGGGGCCTCTTGGGGCTTCTGGGGAGGACCTCTCGCAGGCCTTCTGGGCGCTTCTAGAATGGGGTCTTTGTGGGCTATCTTAGAGGGAAAGGCTCCCAAGGCTAGTTCGAGTTCACCCTCTTCGGCCTCTCTGAAGTGGGGCCGTCCTGGTCGTCTCTTGGGCCGTTTCGGGGGCCTTCTTGGAGCCCTCTTGGGCCGTCTTGGGGCTCTCTTGGGGACCTCTTGGGCTGTCGTGGGGCGATATTGAAAGCATCCTGGGCCATCTTGGGTCTTGAGACCCCTGAAGCTCGACAACGCGTGTACGCCCAAATCCGTCAAAGCCAACGGAAAGCAATGACATTGGCATCTTGGGGCCCTCTTCAAGGTGTTCTTGGGGCTGTCTTCGGACGTCCTGGTGGGCTCTTGGGCCGTCTGGAGGCCATCTTGGACGTCTTGGGGCGCTGTTGGGCCGAGGCCTCTGGGGACCGTCTTGGCCCGTCTTGGCCCCACCCTGCTTTTGGAGATATCACGCGGCCCGCCCCAAAGGTCTCGCGAGCAGCCCCAGTGGATCCAGCAAGTGGGGCTCAGGGTCCCATCAAAGAGCATTACAGTCCTCGATGCTGAGGACTCGAGCAGACCTGGGGACACTCCATTCAGTGCTTACAGAACGGTGGCTAATTCACCACCGCTCTGCCAGGCCAGGTAATCCGGGGCCCGTTGCGGCTGCTTGATGCCTGTCGGTTTCGGTCGGTCTCGCTTGCGCCGTCTGAACGGTCGGTTTTCGTCTGTGCTGTTCCCATGGACGGCATTGGTTCTGGGCAGTTCTACGGTGGTCAGGGGGATTCCAGGGGGTCCGCTTCCTTCGCCTCCTCCTACTCCTCCTGCTACTCCTCCTCCTTCTCCGCCTCCTCCTTGCCCTCGTCCTCCTGCTCCTTTTTCTCCGCTGCCCTCCTTCTCCCGTTCCTCCTCCTCCTCGTCCTCCTCCTCCCGTCTCCGCCTTCCCCTTGGGAGCAGGGGGTCTGTGCCCCTTCAGTCGCGACACGGTTCTGCCACGGTGAGCGGAATCTGGAGCTCCGAGCACAGGCCCGGGCCTCGACGGCGGCGGCCCTCAGCGCCCCGACCCCCGCCTCCCCTCATGGCCCGAGCCGTGGCCCCCAGAACCAGATGGGCTCGGGGCGCGCTGCGCAGCCTCCACCCCGCACCCCGGGCCCCCAGCGGGCCCTGCCACGCCCTGGGCGGCCCCCCTCGCTGCTGGCGTGGGGCTCTGTTTTGTTCGTCTCGTCACCCGCTTGCTTTCCGCCGTCTGGCATACGGATCGGAGGGCCAGGCTGGCGCCTGACGGAATGCAATCCGCACCCGCGCATGCGATGAGACGTGTTGTCCCCACGTGGCGTGACCCATTCGGTTGGACCAGAGCAATCACGAGAGTCGGGCTTGCGGTTTGGGCAAGTCCAACGAAGCCCAGAGGCCGAGTGCAGGCGCAGCGTCGTGCGTTTCCACAAGCAGTGCTCGCACTTACGGGTCCATACTTCCGTGGGTCAAATCAATTGTTGGGTATGCAGGTGTTTAACAACGCTGAGGTCCTGTGCCGCCTCGTGGGCGTCTCGTGGGCGCCCCGCGCTTGGTGGGGCATGCCGAGGTTGCGCCGCGTTGTTGCCCCTGCCTCCTCGTGGACGCCCCGCGCTCGGGGGCCATGCCGAGGTTGCGCCACGTTGGCGCCGCCTGTGTGCCGCCTCGTGGGCGCCCCGCGCTTGGGGGGTATGCCGAGGTTGCGCCGCGTTGCGGCCCGTGCCGCCTCTTTGGCGTTGCGCGGGCGCCCCACATAGCTTGAACCGCATAGGTCACACAACCTGGCGTACACCATTGTAGCTTACCCCCCCATAGCCCCCCCCCCCCTCCAGCTCACCCCGCATAGCTTCCACGACGCAGGTCACACAGAGCTTTCACCGCATAGCTTTCAGTATGATAGCTCGCACCACATGGCGTACGAATCATAGCTTTCACAGCAATGGTTCTCCTTTCTAGAGAAGAGAATAGAGTCCACCCCCCCTGGATTATCCGTTCCCCCCTTCGTATTGCAATGTGCATATGGTTCTGCCCCATCGTCCATTCTAGATATGAATTCATACCACCCCAGCACAGCCAGTATCGCCCCCCCCGCCATCCGCTGCAACAAAAGATTATGCGTGCGCAAACGGTTATCAAACATCGCAAGGTTCCAAGAACCCCTTGCAAACAAAAAGCAAGACGAAGTGTACACGCGCGCGTTATCGCGCGCGCATGCCCAATTCCTTCGAAAACCTTCGGTTTCGAAAGGGTTCCAAGTCAAGTGAGCCAAAAACATTTAGAAACATAGGTTTTCGCAATACGGATTTTCAAAACAAATCGCGCGCTCTTACGAATCCTTAAGACAAAAACCGTCGGCGTTTCGTCATTTTCAGGAAATGCTACCACACGGGCTTCGCGCGCGAATGTCGAAATCGTTCGAACGCCCTTGCGCGCTTGCTGTCGAGAGAATCCTCTGCAACAGGTGAAGCGAAGTGCACGCGCGCGCGCGTCGTCGCGCGCGCATGCCGACATCGGTCAAAAACCGTGGGTCCCGTAGCGATTTCAGAACCGCATGTCCCAAACACATATAAAGCACACATGATTTCGCAACACAATTTTCAAACAAGCCATCGCTCGCGCCCTTGCGATTTGCGAAGAAAGCCATAGTTTTATTCAATCGGTTATGGCATTCTGCCAAGCGGGCCTCTGGCGTCGAATGCCGAAATCATTCGCACGCCAGTGCGCGCGTGCTGGGGGGCACGATCCGTATCAAATAACACCGCGCGGGCAACCCTCGCGCGTCGGCCGCGCGCGCACGTCGAGCTCTTTCCAAAACCTTCATCACCGGCGCGAGGACGCCGAAATCGTCGTCGGCGTGACCAGCATCCGCGCCAACACTGGCCGTTCCGCCGTCGTTGTCAGCATCGTCGCCAGCACCCCTACTATCATCACGGCGTCTACCGTTGTCGACTTTGCCATGATACCGCGCACGCCCAAGTCGCCGATTCGTATTGAAGTGCCCGCTGGGGTGTGCCCAGCGGTCAGCAACACCGCGGCTGCGTCGGTCGCACCAAAGTAGCTGGCCGCTGCGCGCGCGTGCATGCGCGGGCTGTCGCGGCCGCAGAGACGCACCAGCCAGCGCCAAGCACGCATCGCAATCGCCGCCAAATGGGGTTCGCAGGCCAAGTTGCATGTGGGTGGGTGGGATGTTTGCGCGAGAAGTGGGGTGGACAATTTCAAGTTGAGCACGAGTGGATTACAGCAGAGGCTTCACCCCCACCGTGCAATAACGTATTGTTTGGGGTCCACGTTGGCTAAAATGATTGCTTCGAGCACACACACTCTGCTTGTTCATATTCCCCTGTGTGCGTTCGTTGCCCGAGTTAGCTCCGTGTTCGATATTGCTGTACACTGGTAGCCACCGCCATTTGCCCTGTCACACCCTGGCGGCAGTATCCATGCGAATCAGCCTCATGATTGGTTTGTTCCTATGGTCCGCCGACTGTCGCGGACGCGCCGAAGTGTTAACAACATGAGGTTGTACGTTATGTCCCTTGGCGCGTTGGAATACAAGCCGTTCTTCATGTTCGCTTGTTCGGGTTGAATGCGTTGACGCTGCGTAGATTGTGGTGGCACGAAGTCGAGTTCAATGATCGTGTGTGCGTTTTGTGTGATACCTACAATTCTGCATGGGCGTCATTGCTATTACCTGGCGTGTGGTGTCTTTGTTGTTGGAACTCGCGTCGGCAATTCCGCGCTAGGAGCAGATTCCAGCTCCAATGCGCATAGTACCCGAAATTCTTTGCCAATTGAATAATACGGCTACGCACCAGCACCACGTTTTTTTTATGCCACGTGCAGCGATGACCAGCAGAGGCGCGGCCGACTCCCGACGAAAAGCCGCGAAGCTGGACGGGGAGGGCGCCACAGGACCAGGCCGCCGGACTCCGCCAGGGCGACCGCGTCGTCTTCGCCATAGAGATGAACAGGAACAACCAGCCGCAGGCCAGAGAGGTCCACTGGGAGGAGAAATCACAGGCGACTCTCATGGGGGGGTGGACGTGCGGACGTCGACGCTGCGGCTGAGGTACCAGAGTAGAGGCTAGCAAAATCAGATGACCACTGCCAATGGCCCTGTCCCGCTTTGGCGGGACCACAAAACTTGGCTAGCACAAAACCTGGCGCACATGGAATGTGTGTGTGTGCATGTGTCTATGCGTGTCTGTGCAAGCGTGTGCGTGTGCATTGTGTGTGTTTTGTATGTGTGTGCGTGTGCGCGTGTGTTTGTGTGTGTGTGTGTTGCTACACCCTGTCTTTGTGCGCGTTGCCGCGACGCCAAAAAAGCGTGTGTGTGTGTGTGTGTTTGTTTGTGTGTGTTTGTGTGTTTGTGTGTGTGTGTTTGTGTGTGCTTGTGTTTTGTTTGGTGTGTGTGTGTGTGTGTGTGTGTGTGTGTGTGTGTGTGTGTGTGTGTGTGTGTGTGTGTGTGTGTGTGTGTGTGTGTGTGTGTGTGTGTTTGTGCGCGGTTGTGTGTGGTTGTGTGTGTTTGTGTGTGTGTGCGTGTGTGTTTGTGTGCTTGTGTGTGTGTTTGTGTGTGTCATTGTGTGTTTTCGTGTGTGTTTGTGTGTGTGTGTGCGCGTTTGTGTGTGCTTGTGTGGCTGTGTGTGCGTGTCTGTGTGTGTGTGTCTGTGTGTGTTTCTGTGTGTGTGCCTGCGTGTGCGCGCATTTGTAATTCGCCCAAGGCATAGCGCTTGCGACGGTGTTGCCACTTCACCCGTGAAGAAAAGTGTATGCGCATTTGTGTTTACCGCTTGTAGTTATCCCTCGTCCAGGTAAAGCGGGGCTGTCCTGTCTGTGTGCCCTGCTGGTTTAGGCCGCCGAGTTGCCATGTATATTTCTTCGGTCGACCAGCCGATCCACAACTCAGGTACTCAGCAAGCCGGGAGGAGTGCGCGGGTGAAGATGAAGAGAGGGGAGGAGAGGAGGAGGAGGAGGAGGAGGAGGAGGAGGAGGAGGAGGAGGAGGAGGAGGAGGAGGAGGAGGAGGAGGAGGAGGAGGAGGAGGAGGAGAGGCGGAGGAGAGGGGAGGAGGAGGAGGAGGAGGAGGAGGAGGAGGAGGAGAGAGAGAGAGAGAGAGGAGGAGCAATAGGAGAAGGCGGCAGGAGGAGGAAAAGGAGGAGCCAGGAGGAGGGGGTAATCTTCAGGTGCAGAAGCAGGACCTCGCCGCCCCCGTCGACTTGACGGAGGAAATCGAGGACGCTTGGGCCGCAGCTGCCGCGGAGGGCGCCTGGGAGGCCGCGGAGGCCGCCGCGGAGGCCACCACGGAGGCCACCTCGGTGGCCGCCGAGGCGCCCGCCGGGGGGGGGGGCGGGTATCCGATGGAGGGCGTGTCATCGAAGACGCCGACGGCGAATCACTGCCGCCCCCTGCCTTTGGAATCGCCAACGTGGCCGAGCTTTGTGGCAACAGCTCTGCCAAGCTATCGGGAAATGTGCTCTCCCAGCCCTTGTAGAAACCCTTAGGGGGAACACTTGGGGGAGAATGGCGGCGAAGATCAGGAGGAGGAGGGGGAGGAGGAGGAGGAGGAGGAGACGGAGAAGGAGAAGGGGGCATCTTGGGAGCCTCTGGGGGCACTCTTGGGGCTTCCTTGGAGCTTCTTGGGAGCCTTTTGGATGTATCTTTAGGGCCTTCTTGGGCCTCTTGGGGGCCCTTGGGGGCTTCTCGGGGGCCTCTGTAGCCGTCTTGAGGCGTTCCTGGTCCGTCTGACGCCATCGGAAGCAGTCTTGCGGGCCTCTCTGGGCTGACTTGCGGCCCTCCTGGGAGTGGATGTCTTCGAGGCCTCTTGGGCGATCTTGGGGCCCTCTTGGGGCTGTCTTCGGAGCCTTTTGGGCCGTTCTGGGGCCCTCTTGGGAGGCCTCTTGGGCGATCTTGGGGCGATCTTTGGGGGCTCGCGGGCCGTCTCGGGCCGTCGGAAGATCGAAAAGACGCAAACGCCACAATCCTTCAAACACCCAGGGCAAATCAGTGAGTTTGGCCTCTTCGGGCCTTCCTGGAGGAGCTCTTGGGGACCTCTGGGGCCGTCTTGGAGACCTCTTGGGGGCATCTTGGGCCGTCTTGGGCCATCTCGGAGCCATTTTGGGCGGGCCGTCTTGATGGCCTCCTGGCCCGTCGGACGGAGAACCTCTTGAATTCTCCTGGGGCCATCTGGGAAGCCTCTCGGGCCCATCTTGGCCGTCTTAGCGGGCATATTGGCCGTCTTGGAGGTCATCTTGTCCGTCTTGGAGGCACCTTGGAGGTTATCTTGCCCGTCTTGGAGGCCATCTTTGGCGTCTTGGAGGCCTCTTGGGCGCTCTGGGGGCGATCTTTCGGCCCTCTTGGGCCGTCTTGGGCCGTCGGAAGGCTGGACAATAGCAAAAGCCAACATCCTTCAACAACCTTGGGAAAACCAATGACTGTGGCCAGTTCGGGCTCTCGTGGAGGACCTCTTGGAGGCCTCTTGGGCGGTCTTGGAGGCCTCTTGGAGGCCTTTGGGGCCATCTTGGTCCGTCTTAGAGGGTTCTTGTGCAAACCTGGAGGCATCTTGGACTCTCTTGGACCGTCTTGGAGGCCATCTTGTACCATCTTGGGCGAACTTGGAGGCCATCTTGGAGCCGTCTAGAGCAGGGATAACCTTTGCAACCACCTCTGGAAGAGTTTTTCGGGTGGCCGGCGGGACGGGCCGAAGCCCCAGGGAGTTTTTTGTTAAGAACCAACAGCGACAGGGTTCAGCACCCCGGGCACCCCTGTGATGAATCCGCCGGGGGCGGCGGATTATCGAAGACGCCTACGGCGAATCACCGCCGCCCCCTGCCTTTTTGAAAGCGCCTGCGTGGCCAAAAGTTGGGTTTGAGCTTGGCCAAGCTATCGGGCCACGCGTTCCCCGAGTGGATTTCGAAAGCCTTCGGGAAGCACGGAGTCGGGCGAGCTATCGGACCAGGTGGTTTTCGAGCTTTCTTGGAGCTTCCTGCTGACCTTTGAAGGACTCTTGGGAGGCCTCCTTGGGTTTCTTGGGGACCTCTGGGGGCTCTTTGAGGGCTTCCTTGGTCGTCCTAGGGCCTTCCTGGCCCATCTGACCCCGTCGGAAGCCGTCTATGGGGCCTCTCGGAGCCGCCTTCGGGCCCTCATGGGACGTTTCAGAGCCGTCTTCGAGGCAATCTAGGCGTCTTAGAGGCCTCTTCGGTCGTCTTGGGGCCCTCTTAGGGGCCGTCTTGGGGGCTTCTTGGGCTGTCATGGGGCCATCTTAGAGGCCTCTTGGGCGCTCTTGGGTCGATGTTGGGGGCCGCTTGGGCCGTCTTGGGCAATCAATGATTTTAATCCTGACGGGCCTTCCTGGAGGACGTCTTGGAGGGCTCTTGGGCCTTCTTGGAGGCCTCTTGCGGGCCTTTTGGACAGTCCTAGGCAATCTTGAGGCAATATTGGGCCGTATTGGGTGCATCTTGGGGCCATCTTGGCCGTCTTGGAGGCCATCTTGGGCGTCTTGGGGGCCTCTTGGGCCGACTTGGGGTCTTGTTGGGGCCCTCTTGGGGGCCTCTTGGCCTGTCATGGGGCCGTCTTGGAGCCTTTTTTGGCACTCTTGGGGCGATCTTGATAGCCTTTTGGGCATTCTTGGGCTGTCGGAAGGCCGAAAAGGAGCAAACGCCACAGTCCTTCACAAACCTAAGGAAAATCAGCATTGTTGACCTCTTCGGGCCGTCCTTGAGGACTCTGGAGGACCTCTTCGAGGCCTCTTGGGCCGTCTTGGAGGCCTCTTGGAGGCCTCTGGGGACGTCTTGGACCGTCTTAGGTTAGGTGTTTCTTGTGCGAACTTGGAGGCATCCTGGACTCGTGTGCCGTCTTCGAGGCCAACTTGGACCATCTTGGGCGAACTTGGAGGCCATCTTGGAGCCGCCTGGAGCCGAAGAACCTTCTGCAACCACCTGTTGCGCGCCCTTCCGGGTGGCCGGCGGGACGGGCCGAAGCCCCAGGGGAAGTTCTTTGGGGAAAGAACCAAACAAAACCGAACGGGTCTAGCACGCCGGGCACTTCTGTGGCAAGCACAGGGGGCGGCGGATTATCGAAGACGCCTACGGCGAATCACCGCCGCCCCCTGCCTTTTTGGAAGCGCCTGCGTGGCCGAAAGTTGGGTTTGAGCTTGGCCAAGCTATTGGGCCACGCGTTCCCCGAGTGGATTTCGAAAGCCTTCGGGGAACACGGACTCGGGCGAGCCATCGGACCAGGTCGTTTCCGAGCTTTCGGGCCTCCTGGAGGACGTCTTGGAGGGCTCTTGGGCCGTCTTGGAGGCCTCTTGCGAGCCTTCTGGGCAGCCTAAGGCCATCTTCAGGCCATCTGAGGCCGTCTTGGGTGCATCTTGGGGCCATCTTCGCCGTCTTGGAGGCCTTCGTGGCAGTCTTGGAGGCATCTCGGAGGCCATCTTGGCCATCTTGGAGGCCATCTTGGGCGTCTTGAGACTTCTTGGGCCGTCTTGGGGTCTTGTCGGGGCCCTCTTGGGGGCCTCTTGGCCTGTCATGGGGCCATCTTGGAGGCCTCTTGGGCGCTCTTGGAGCGAAGTTGGGGGCCTCTTGGGCCGTCTTGGGCCGTCGGAGAGCTGAAAAGAAGAACATGCCCAAACCCTTCAGCAACCCAAGGGAAATCCATGATTTTGACCTCTTCGTGCCTTCCTGGTGGAGCTCTTGGAGGCCTCTTGGGCTGTCTTGGAGGCCTCTTGGAGGCCTCTGGGGCTGATTTGAGCCGTCTGAGAGGTTTCTTGTGCGAACTTGGAGGCATCTTGGACTCTCCTGGGCCGTCTTGGAGGCCATCTTGGACCATCTTGGGCGAACCTGGAGGCCATCTTGGGCCATCTTAGCCATCTTGGGCGCCATCTTGGAGCCATCAGGAGCAGGAAGAACTTCTGCAACCGGATGTTGGGCAGTCTTTGGGGCCCTTCCTGGTGGCCGGCGGGACGGGCCGAAACCCCAGGGAGTTTTTTAAACAAAAAAAGCGACAGGATTCAGCACGCCAGGCACCCCTGTGATGAATCAACAGGGGGCGGCGGACGGCCCAGATGGCTTCGAATGCTGCTAAGGTGGCCCCAAGATGCCTCCAAGACGGCCCAATATGCACTGAAGACGTTCCAGGATAGCCTCAAGATGGCCCAAGACGGCCCAAGAGGCTCCCAAGAGGCCTCCAAGACGGCCCAAGAGGCCTCCCAGAGGTCCTCCAGGAAGGTCCGAAGACGTGAAAATCATTGATTTTCGCTGCGTTTTTGAAGGATGTTTGGTATTTGCACTCCTTCGGCTTTCCGACGGCCCAAGTGGCCCCCAATGTCACCCCAAGATCGCCCACAAGAGGCCACCTGGAGGACCTCTTGGAGGCCTTTTGGGGCGTCCTGGGCCATCTTGAGACCAGCTTTGGCCATCTTGGGTGCATCTTGGGCCGTCTTGGAAACATGTGCAAACCATCTTGGGTTCTCGTAGGGCCATCGTGGCTATCTTGGCCGTATTGGAGGCCATCTTGGGGCCGTCTGGCGCGGGAAGACCGACGACCTGGAGAGTTTACGGGTCCTTATACCTCGCCGGCGGGACAGGCCGAAGCCCCAGGGAGAGTTTTAAAAGAACCAAAATCGAACGGATCTACCACTCCGGGCACCCCTGTGGCAAGCCAACAAGGGACGGCGGATCTATTGACCTTCAGCCCATCCCGCCACTGTGCTTGGGTTGTGGGTCAGAGTTATCAGGGGTGTTTCTTCGGGGCGCTCTCGGTGGCCTCTTGGGAGCAGGTTTGGGGCCTCTTGGGGGCATCTTGGGGGCTTCGTGGGGCCTCCTGGAAACCTCTTGGGGCCTCTTGGGTTCCCCTTGGGGGCCTCTTGGGCCCTCCTGGGAGCTGCTGCAACACCCGCACCGAGTGGCGCAAATGCTGCAAGCCAGCTGAGGCGCCCTTCCACTGAAGGCCCATGAGCGCCATGTGCCAGGGCACCCAGCTCGAAGTAAGTAGGCGGACACGTCTGCCTCAGTTGTGCGGTTACAATATTATCACGCACGACAGCCGCCGCGGAGCCGTCGGCAATAACAAGAACGCTGTTGCCCACGGTGGCGTCGAGCACTACGTGGAGCCACAGAGCCCTGACCTCCAATCCAACATCGCCTCCAAACAGCGCAACCACTTGCGCCCTGCAAATGGCGGGCAAGGCCGCCTCGAAGCCAGATCCCCGCGAACCGCACAGCACCAGTGCCGCGGGCACGAAAATGGATCATGCAACCTGGCGCTTGGCGGTGCGTGCAGCTGCGCTCAGCATTGCACGCTCCTGCGCGAACTCCAGGCGAGCGCTCCGGTCTCCAAGCGCAATGCTCGAGGGTGGATGGGCTCAGGGGGAGACGCATCGACCCTCAATCGTCCATTCATCGCCGACGGGGGCCTCGTGGCCCAGCCAGCCCAGGAACCTGCGGTTTCGCTGTGCGGTGGCCCATCGCCAATCGATCGGCGGTGCATCACCGATTCCAGCTCGATCTCCCCCCCCCCCGGAGGGCGCCGCCAGGCGGAATGCGCGGCATCGCAGGGCGGCGCAAGAAGCTCTGCGGCGGATCCCCGCACCGCTGCGGACCCCGCTCGCTGTGGCGAGTGGCCTTGCGGCAGCTCGCCCCGCGCGGAACGGAGTCCTGCTCAGGGAGCCAGCGAGCCGTCGCGCAGTCAGTGGTGTCGTCGAGCTTCAGGCCTGGCTGGCCGGGGGGGGGTCCCGGAGGTCTCAGGGCCAGGCCAGCTTGGGCGCTGCGTAATGGGGGATCATAAATGGGGGGGCGGCGAGTGCGGTCCGAAAAGGTACCCACACGGTACCTCAACGAGCCCCCATGGGGCTCTGGAGGGGCCCGAAAGGGGCACGAAAGGGAACCGTTTCCGACCCCCCCATTTGTGACCCCCCATGAAGCCACGCCCAACCAGCGGGGCCGGGGGTCGAGAGGTCTCGGGATCAAGTCGGCCCCGGGGTTTTGCCTGGCTCTCTGGCCGCGCGGGCGGCGCGGGCTCCTCGCCGCGGCGGCGGCGCGGAGGCCGGCAGCGGCGCGCAGGCCTCCTGGACGTCGAGGCAGGCGAGCACGGTCTGCTGGCAGACCCTCTGTCGTGACCTCGGCCCCCCGAGGTTGCCTTGGCGACGGGGGCGAGCTCCCGCGGTCAGGAACCTTTGCTTAGCGTGTCGCGGCGGCGACCCCGAGGACACGCTGTGCCCTGCGAGCCGATAGCGTGTCGCTCTCCCCCGCGGGGCGGGAGGCTGGAAAAGGCTCGGGACGCCTTGGAAATGGGAAGTGGTTAGCGTGTCGCGCCGAAGCGAAGCGTGGTGGGCCAAAAACGGCGGCGCCACACGCTAAGCTAAAAACCATGACTGTAGTTCGTTCGACGCGGCCCATCAAAAAAGTCTGGTCTGCACCTGCTGCTCACGGCGCGCGCTGGCGACCCAACCGTCAAGCGCCATGGGTCGGCTACGCGTAAGAGTGACCCCAGGTAAGAGTGAACCTTGGTGCTCGGCCTTGGGGACACTGCCAGGCGTGCAAGCCACTACTATCGTATCGCATTTAGCCATCGGGGGGCAGCACTGGGCCGCACCACCGGTCACTCTGGCGAAAGGTCGATCTTACGCGTAGCCGAAAGGATCGCTGCGCACAAACTTGTCGCTGCACGTCTGGAGCAACTGCAACTGGCCGTCTGGGCCTGCCCACTGCAACGGCGGGGGGCAGGAGCGCGCCTGCCTAGCACCTGCCGAAGATGAGGGCAGGCGTGGCGACACGTGCGCGGGCGGGAGGCTGTGGGATAGCGTGTCGCTCCGATGCGTGGTGGGCCAGAACTGGCGGCGCGACACACTATCCCAAAGGTGCCGTCCATCTCAGGGCGGTGCAGTGACCGAACCTGTGCCCGAGATTCTGCCCGAGTGTGACCGAAACCGGCGCTGGAATGGTCCCGAACGCGCCAGGAGTGCGACCGGAACGCTTGGCTGAAAGCCGAAGCGATCTTGCAATTCCAGTCACGATGTCAATCGCAGTGTGCTTTCAGTCACGCCTTTGGGCACGATTTCAGGCACCAGCTCCTCGCGGTCTTCGCCGTGCCTCCTGGAGCCCCTGGGACTCCTGGAGGCCGCGGGGTTCCCCGCAGCGCTCCAAACGCTACGAACCTGAACCCTTCAACTGGGGAAGGTTGAAAAGAAAAGGCACCAGCTCCTCGCGGTCACATGCCTTCTCGGCGGGGCCCAGCGCAACGCGAGACCCCCTGGCTGGCGTCCTGCCGCCTTCCCCGCCGGCGTGGCCTGGGCGCAGGCGGCGGCGCGGCCCAGGCCAGCGCCGCGACGCAGACCGCGGCAGCCGTAGGGGCTCCCCGAGCGAAGTGAACCCCTCCCCCTCCGAAATCGTGGGGGGTAGGGGTAGGGTTCACATGTGGCCCCCAAGGCCGCCCCGTCGGGGCGCCCGGTGCGGGGGAAGGGGGGGTCGGGGGGCGGCCCTCGGAGGCAGGGCGCCGCGGCCCCCGCGGGTCTGTTATACAACGACGCCCGCAAGTTGTACGGCAGCGAAAAAGAAGAAGTCAGGTGAGTGCAAAAACGCACATGAGCACGGAAAGCAACCTTAGAGGGCATCGTTGTACCGCGTGACGGTCGCGTGTCAGGCTGCGATGGACTGCGCTGAATTTTGTCAAAGATGCGCAACGGCCTCCCCGCCCCCCGCTGCCTGGGCAGCGTGCACATGAATCTCACAGCACCATGTCAGTGCGCATGTATCGTGGCAGTGGCGGGGACAAAAGTGTGACAAAAACCAAAGCACGTGGGCGACATGTGAACACCAGCCCCCCCTTCTTGAGGCCCCGACAACGGGGCCCAAGAACGCACCACAAACCTCGAACCCTCGAGCCCTCGGACCTCGAAGTTGAGGCAGCATGTTGAGAACCCAGAGATCTCACATGCATGGACAGGGGTGCGGGGAGGGGGGGGTGGGTCGTGGCGCGGCCCGAGAGAGAAAGCTGGACTCACTAATCCGCCTTTTCGGCCCAGCGTGGTTTGGACAGGCGGCGGAGGGAGGGGGGAATGCCATGCAAGTGAACTTGCCTGAGCCTCAAATTCGCAACCGTGCCTGCAGCAAGTAGTGGAGTGCCCCCCCCGAGGCTCATGCAGCCCTGAGAAGTTCAGAACTGTAGAATTGTATAACAAGTTTTAAGGGCTGGGGGCACCGGTTTCACAAGGATGTCCGGGGATTCCCCAGGATTCTTTTGATTTCCTCAGATTCCTCGGGACTTCTTTGGATTCCCCAGGATGTCTGGGGATTCCCTCGGATTCCCGGACGTGGCGCACGCGACCTCGGCCAAACATAGGCTAAAACAGCGCCTAAGAGGGCCGAAGATGCCTGCGAGAAGGCCCAAGAGCGCCCCCCCATGCGCCCAAGATAGCCTCTACACGGCCTAAGAGGCCCCGAAGACGTCCCAAGAGTGTTCCAAGAGGCGTCCCAAGGTGGCCCCAAGAGGCACAAATGATTGAGCGCTAAGGTTATTGAGAGATATTCTCCTTGTCGCCTTTTCGGCTTCCCGACGCTCCAGAGCGGCCCACGAGGCCCCCAAGACCGCCCCGAGACGGCCCCAGAGGCCCTCGAGGACTACGAAGCGGGAACACCTGCCAGCGCCGCCACATGCCGCAAGGGAGCTGAGCTGAGAACAGCATTGCGGAGCACCTCCGACCGGCAGTTCCATTGCGGCCGTGGGGCCGGGGAGGGTCCAGGAGAGGGTTGCCCTGCCCACCCAGATAGCCGCAATAAATGGCTCGTCTGCCGGTGCGCGCATGTGTTGTTGACGCCAGGCAGGCGTCACGCTCATGGTAGTTCGATGGAGGCCAGCGGGGTCATTATGCCCACGGCTGGCTACATACGCTGAAGGATGAGGGAGGACCAGGGAGGAGGCAAGGGAAAGAACGGGAAGGAAGATGGAGCCAGGGAGGGCGTGTCATGACGTGAGGGCGCGATGAGCAGGAGAAGGAAGAGGAGGAGGAGGAGGAGGAGGAGGAGGAGGAGGAGGAGGAGGAGGAGGAGGGAGGAGGAGGAGGAGGAGGAGGATAGGAGGAGGGATAGGAGGAGGATAGGAGGAGGATAGGAGGAGGAGAAGGAGGAGGAGGAGGATGATGATGATGAGGAGGAGGAGGAGGAGGATAGGAGGAGGAGGAGAGGAAGAGGAGAGGAGGAGGAGGAGGAGGAGGAGGAGGAGGAGGAGGAGGAGGAGGAGGAGGAGGAGGAGGGAGGAGGAGGAGGAGGAGGAGGAGGAGGAGGAGGAGGAGGAGGAGGAGGAGGAGGAGGGAGGAGGAGGAGGAGGAGAGGAGGAGAGGGAGGAGGAGAGGGAGGAGGAGAGGAGGAGGAGGAGGAGGAGGAGGAGGAGGAGGAGGAGGAGGAGGAGGAGGAGGAGGAGGAGGAGGAGGAGGAGGAGGAGGAGGAGGAGGAGGAGGAGGAGGAGGAGGAGGAGGAGGAGGAGGAGAGGAGGAGGAGGAGGAGGAGGAGGAGGAGGAGGAGGAGGAGGAGGAGGAGAGGAGGAGGAGGAGGGAGGAGGAGGATAGGAGGAGGAGAGGATGGAGAGAGGAGGAAGAAGAGGAGGAGGAGGAGGAGGAGGAGGAGGAGGAGGAGAAGGAGGATAGGAGGAGGATAGGAGGAGGAGGGAGGAGGAGGAGGAGGAGGAGGAGGAGGAGGAGGAGGAGGAGGAGGAGGAGGAGGAGGATAGGAGGAGGATAGGAGGAGGAGGAGGAGGAGGAGGAGGAGGAGGAGGAGGAGGAGGAGGAGGATCAGGAGCAGGAGCAGGAGCAGGAGCAGGAGCAGGAGCAGGAGCAGGAGCAGGAGCAGGGCCAGGAGCAGCAGCAGCAGCACTGGCAAGAGCCAGGGGCAATGTAGCAGGAGACGCAGCAGACGAGGCCCGGGGCTGAGCGGGGGCGCGGAGGAACACAGGCGAGGGAGGGGCAAGGAGGGAGGCAACGGAGGGAGAGAGAAGCAGAGGAGGTGGAGAAGAGGCGTGGGCAGCGGCATCCGTGGCGACCAGCGGCAGTGGCAGGGGCAGGGCATGGGCCTCAGCAGCGGCGGCACCGAGCGGGTGCGCGCGCGCCGCTGGCCACCGCCCGGGCATGCTGCCGCCGAGGATCTGGCCGAAGACCTGCCCGAGCGGGCGGCCGAGGCCGAGAAGCTTGCCGCCGCGGCCGTGAAAACGGCGCCGGCAGCGGCCAAGCCGGAGGCCCCCGTGCGAGAGGTCGGCCCCCGTGCTCGCGCAGGGAGGTTCGAGAGGCGGAGTTTTCGGGCAGTCTTGTGTCGTCGGCGATGTAACATCGCCGATGTTCTAGCCTCAGGATGCCTGCCAGCAGCTGCGCCTCGCCCGGAGCGTCCCTGGGGGTACCCGGATCGTCCCAGACGGGCGCCAGAGACCCGAGCTCTTACCCGAACGACGAGGGGCAACGTTCGAGGGAGAGAGGCTCAGGGAGGAAGAGGAACGCATCGACTCCCAATCGCCCACTCGTCGCCATCATCCCCGACGGGGGCGGCGTAATAACCCACTCGGCCCAGGCACGTGAGGATACGCCATCGGGGGCCTATCGCCGATCGATCGGCGATGTGTCGCCAGTTCCAGCTCGATGTGTCCCCCCCTCTGGGCAGGTCCCCACCCGCTCTCCCCAGACTTCTCGTCATGGAGACATCGAGGCCTGAGGTTCCTGGGCTCTATCCCCTGCTCCCGACGGGGCCATCGCCAGGCCCTGGGGCCGTCAACGAAACGACTCGGGATGAACAACTTGTCCCTCGAGTATCACAGAGCGTCTGAAACACAAATGTTCAGAGGCCCGCGCGGAGTTCTTTGATCGGCTCTGGACCCCACGGCGCCGCCTCCAGCACCGCCCCTCCGCGCGCCAGGGAGGGGGGCCCAGCGCCGACCCAAGACATCGTCGCGGACCTCCGCAAGGTAATGTTGCTATGCCCACGCCGTTTTCATGGGCGCCCTGGGTTAGCCTCTTGCGCGGGAAGAAGTCGCGGCGGAGCAATTGGCCCTGGCTATGCTATATGTATTGCTATGTCCTGCTGCGGGACGGCTAATCTCGGCTGAGGCGATCCCATCCCTCGCGCGCCCGCGAGCGCGTCCGTTCCGCAGGCGATTGGGATTTGGTGTTCGCGTGGCCGTCCCGCCAGCAGGGCGCGCGTTAGCCCCCCCCCCTCCCGACCCTGCTGCGCGAGTGGAGTGGAGTTGCGGTGGCTCTTCGGTGCGCCGGGGCTGGGATGGTCCAGGTTTGGAGGGGCGGGGGCGTCGGCAGGGTTGCGCGGCTCCGCGGCTCCGACCTGCGCTCCCTTCGCGTCACTTGGCCCGGGCCTGCGCCAGTCGACCGTTGTGCCCTGCGCAAGCGTGGGCCCAGCCTCGAGGCGACTTCTCCAGGGCTGAGCACCAGCAGTTCCGTTTCAATTCGGGGGGGGTTTTCGAGAGCGCGCGCATGCTGCCCGCTCGGCAGCACGCGTTGTCACCGCAGTCGCGACCCTTATTGGGCAGGTCCTGTTGTGGGGCTATGTTCCAAGAGTGAGAGACCCCCTTTGCCAGCCCATTGCGCCTTTTTTCGCGAATGGAATTCGGTTCGCGCAGTCACTTCCGCCATCGAGCAAGTGTGATACAGGACTCGGGGGATCACTGTGAAGAGCCCGTGGCGTTCCCACCACATGCAGAGCGCGAAGAGTGAGCGTTGCATGCGGGGGGCCCGACAATCTGCCTCGAAACGAGCAGCGCGACGCGGATGAACAGATCCTGGCCACGGGCACGCCTATGGCTGCGGAGCGGGATGAGGTCGCGGTCGCTGGCCGAGATCGGCCGCTTCAGGGATCCACTCCATAAGACCCGACCCCATAATGAGGGACCACACCCAATTGCGCCCCATCCCATAGGATCCCAGCCCGTTTGGCCAAACCCAACAGAAAATATTCCCCCCACTGGTCCGACAGCATCATGCTATCCCATTCCGTCGGCTCCCACCTTGGAGGGTCTCGCTATACATATTGTACTGCCTGTGTTGAACCACGTGAGGAGTGCGCTTTGCAGATGGCACCGCGTCTTTCGGTTGCTTGGCCACTTCGCTTCACGTGCCCAGCTCCCTTGCAAAGGAAGGGTCCCTCTCGCCCTCGCGCTTTTTCGCCTCACCCGCACACGCCGCGCGAACCGAAACCGGAACCGATGTCCTGGCGGTGGGCATTTCGCTTCATTTCAATACCACCCTTCGGCCTCCAATCGGTCCTCGCTCAACCTTGCAGAAAGACAGATCCGCGCTCCTGAAGTCACGACTTCTTGTTCAAAGCGAAGTTGTCCGCACATCTGGTGCCACGATCCTTTGCAGCTGAAGCTGACATGAGCTTCGAAGCCACGCGAATTACATGTTTCAACATTTCGAGCTACTGTGGCCACGACTTCGAGTGGCCAATGATTGAGCTGCGCTCCCGAGGCCGCCATCCCCTGAAACGAAAGAAAAACGAACGGACCGCGCCCGCCACGCCAATACCTTTCCGTTTGAAGACAATCCGTTGGGCTTTTGCGGAGGGCAGCAGGCTGCGCTGCTCAGGTTTCAGCGCTTTGGCAACGTGGTCCTCAAGGGTGCAGTTCGTCAGCCTGGAACGGTGCAACATCCCTGTACTGTGCACTTTGAGGCTCTCGGAGCACAGAACTGTTCAGTTGATCAAGAGGTGAAGAATTCAGGTTCTGAAAACGCGTGCGACTCCCCACGGCCGGAGAAGACGCGGCCCAAGGGGACCATCCGAGAAAGCCCAGGCGGTTCAAGAGGGCCCCGAGACGGCCTAAGAGATCCCCCAAAGGGGCATCATACGCCCCAGCCCAAGACGCCCAAACCGGCCCCCAAGGGGCCTGTGACAGGCCCCGTAAACAGTTCATCAGGGCACCAGGGAAGCTCCTGGACCTCCCCAAAAAAGGTCCCTAAGAGTCCCGCGGCTGGAGGACCCAGGGGAGCGCCAAAAGGGCCTTACAAGGCTCCGAGCAAGCATGCCCCAGCATTGGTCAACAAGCTCCACCAGGCTGGATGGGTGGTTTTTTGTATGGGGGACTTCGGGCTCAACGCGCGGCCGCGGGAGCCCTGGGCAAACGAATACATCCAGGACCTTCGGCAGTCGGACGATTCTTTGCGCAGCTTGCCGCGCAAGCGCGCGGCAGGTCGGGCAGGAACAGCGCTGCCTGGCACCGCGCGGGGGGACTCTCTCCTGCCACCTGGAACACGCACCCCGACAATCTCTCTGCTACCGCGCCGCCGCCGCCGCGGAGGCAGAACGCGTGGCCGTGCCCGCGCGCAAGGGCATGGGGCCACCAGGAGCGCCAAGCGAAGTACGCGGCCAGCACGTCCACCCTGCCGATGGGTGCGTCAGCCGCGCTTCCGGGTGCGGGCAGGGCGTGGATGCCGGCGTCGCCCTGCTGGCATGTGCACTGGCCGCCAGAGCAGACGCGCCGCGCTCTCGAGCCCACGGCGGACGTTGCGCCAGTCGCGCCGCCGCCATGGCACTCTAAGCGACGGTATCACGAGTTGCGTCTCCCAGCTTGCATCACTGGTCAAGTGTCGTCTGTCTCGTTTCCACGTGTTCGCTTGCTGAGGCTTTCGGGACGAGCTCCCTCGAGTGTTGCTGTTGTGACGCGGCTGCTGGGATGGGATCTGCTGCCGAATTGCGATGCCGTCTTGCACATTTGGTGGGTTCGGTCGTTGTTTTCTGCCCCTCGTGGCGCTCTTGGCTCGGATATAAAAACAAACGCCTCCCAGCTCGCATCACTGACCCAAGTTACCCTTCTCCTTTCACCAACTTTGCCTGCTGACGTTTTTGGGATGGGTTACCTCGAGCGTTGTATTTTGAACAGGGGTGCCCTGAAGGCGCCCTTTCTGGGATGGGATCTGCTGATCAGCGACGCCGTCACGCACGTGTGCTAGCTTCAGTCGTTGTTTTCCGCTTCTCGTGGCACTCTTGGCTCGGATATCACAAGTTGCGTCTTTCAGCTTGCATCGCTGGCGCCATGATCATCCTGCTTCTTCGTGTGCCGAAATTGGGAGGGGGACGCCATGCGAACCCTGCTTGGTGCCTCTTCGGTTGAGCCCCCCATGGCCCCATGGGAGCCACGAAACGTGTGAGGGGATTGGAGGCAGGGAGGGGGGAGGAAGCACAGGAGGAGAAGGAGGACCGAGGGAGACGCGGGGCGCTGCTGATTCAAAACGGGGGGCAAGGACCCAACACCGCAGGATGGCTGAGAGAAACCGATGCCCGGGGACGCACCCAACCCACTTGCAGGCGGAGCGGGTCGATTTCAGGCCAGATCGGGCGCCTCAGAGGGGGCCCACGCGCCGCTGGCGTCGGCCGTCCATCCCAGCGCGCGCGCGCGCGTGCGTGAAAAGCCACTGCGCGTGACACGGCCACCCAGCTTGGGCTCTGCCCAGGCCCTCGAAAATACCCCCCTCCACCCCCTGGCCGTCCACGCGGGTGCTTGGCAAAGGGCCGCGCTCGTCCCCCCTCTCTCCGTGGGCAGACTCGGGCGTCATCCGTCGTCCGGCTCGGCTTCTCAGCGGCACGGAAGAGCGACCCTTCGCCGGAGTGACATTTGGTGAGCGGTATCTCCCGGGGCCAAGTCCAATTCCAGCACGTGGGCCGCGATTGCCGCATCGAACGCAACGAGCGGCGAGGCCGCGCACCAGAGGTGGCTCTTGTCTGGGGCCAGACTCCTAGCGTGCGGCCGAGCTGCTCTGCGCTCTGTCTCCACTGGTTCCTCGCCGCGGGGCCGCTTCTCTTTTCCTGCAGGCGTGATCGGATCCCGGCCAGCCGCCGCAGGGCGCTGAGACCGTGAGGAGGCACTCGCTGCGAGTTTCGCTCGCGGCGCGCGGGGGGAGGCACGTCCCGTCCCCGCGGCCCGTCCCTGCGGCGAGAGGTCCCCCTGACCGCAGAGGAGAAGGCCGCGGAGAAGAGCCAGGCTGACAGGATATAGTTTTTTTTTTTTTTATTCTACGGGCCATGAAGCGCGTCATGCCCCCCCCCTCTCCCCCCCCCTCCCCCCCTCCCATAACGTAACGCCCCTCCCCCCAGTGCGTCCCTGGCACTACCGCAGCGCGCCCGTCACCACAGTCTGTCATGGTGGGTGGCGGGGGCGTTACGTCATGCCCCCCCTCCCGCGCCACCTCCCCCCTACCCATAATGCCCGCTATCGCCGCGAGAAAGAAACGCTATCCAGGATAGGCCTCGACGCCCTCTTCGTCAGGAGCGTCGCGGAGGCCCGGAAGAACAAGGATCGGTTGCGGGCGGATGGCGAGGTGCGGGGCGGGCCGCGCACGGGTCGCCCTCGGAGAGCGCGGTTATCTTGAGAGCTTGGTGAGGCAAGCTTGGACTGCCTCCGGGGGCTGGGATAAGGGCGGGGGTCGGTGCAGCTGGATGGAGGTGAGGGGGGCAGCTGCTCTGGTGAAGGGTGAAGGGCAGGGAGAGGAGGGAGAAGAGAGTGGAGAGGAGGGGAGGACAAGCTGGGCACGCGGACGCCATATCTGACATCCGACCCCTTGCTACCCATCCCTTCCCACTGCGCTGATTGTTTCTCTATCCGACGACGGATGTGTCCTAGTGGACCTGGGTCCCCCAAATAACCCAGCGGTCTGATGCGCAATCAGATCGGGAGGCGGTGTACATTGGAGGAGGAGGAGGTGTCGGATGAGCAGGAGGATAAGCAGGAGAAACAAAAGGAGGAGAAGGACGAGGAAAGAGGAAGAGGAGCAGCAGCAGGAGCAGGAAAAGTGGTGGGGTGAGCAGGCGGACCAGGGGAAAGCGAAGGAGGGTAAGAAGGGCAACAACAAAGAGGAGCGAATCGAATCCAGAAAAGTGACCCACGCTAGGGCGAGAGCACTTTTTTTTACCATGCGAACAGGCGCCCCGCGGCAGAGGGGGGAGGGAGTGGGGGGAAGGGCATGCACCGTGCACGTAATTAGTCTGGCGGCCCCGGCCGGGCCCGCAGCCGCGCCTCCAGGGTGGCGCGCCAGGCCTCGGTGCCACCGCCAGCTCGCACCGCCAGCGTCAGCAGCAGCATAGCCGCCCGCGGGGGCAGCGCCGGCGCCCACCCTGGACACTGCCTCGCCGACAGCTGCGCCCAGCGCGCCGCCGAGGCGCCGCAGCGCAGGCAGCTACCCAGCCCGGGCCCTGCGCCGCGGCGTGCACGTGCCACGCGGTGCCTGCGAAGAGGGCGCGCGCAGCCTCGGCTGGCGCAGGAGGCGCGACGGCCCCGCTGGCCTCAATCGCTGCCCGGGTCCGCCGGCGCGGCGGCGGAGGAGGGGGAGCTGGCGCCGCCGGCGCCGCAGGCGGGAGCCGAGCTCTCCTCCCGGCGGCGCGGGGCCCTCGCGCAGCAGTCCAGCGGCGGCGCACGCGCGGGCCCTCGGGCCCATGATTGGCTCGCAAGGCCGCCAACTCGACCGCGGCGAGCACGCGCTGCGCTGTGGCCAGCGCCGTCAGCTGTAAATCGCGTTCCAAGCAAAGCGCTGGCGGGGGGAAGCGGGCCCTGGCCGCCGCACCTGCCAAGGCTTGGCAGCCAAGCGGTCGGCGGCCGCATTGCCTGGCCCTGTCCTCCTCGGACATGCCCCGGGCGCGCGCGTCCTCGGCGTCCGTGTGGCCCTTGATCCAGCGCGCCGCCAGGAAGCCGCTCCGGCAGTGCTCCGCGACGCGCTCCCAGAGGTCGGAATGCGCCCAATCGAGGTAGCACGCGCCAGCGCGCAGGGCCATCACGCCATTGCGGACGAAGCGGGAGTCCGTGATAACCTCGACCGGCGCCCCCGCAAGGCTGACGGCCTGGACGGCGGCGGTCAGTTCGGCGCGCTGCGCAGTCTGCGCCCCGTCCACTGGCCCGCTGTGGTCGCTCGTGCCGCGTCCCCCTTCCAGCTGGAGCCCCCAGGCCGCCCGGGCCATCAGCGGGTCTTTCGGTCGCACGCACGCCCCGTCGATCCACGCCCTGAGGCGCAGCTGCGGCGGCGCTGGCAACTGGGCGGCGGGCAGCGGCGCTGGCGGCAGGGCCCTGGCGGCCTCCTCGGCGAGTGCGGCGAGCCGGACGTCCGTCGGCAGTACGCCTGTGTTCGCCACGCCAGGCGGCAGCCGGGCGCGCAGCGCGGCCTGCGAGATCCCCGCCGTTGCCAAGGCGGGGGCCCTGTCGGCGCTCCAGGCTGGGCAGACCCAGAAACGGTGCTCGCGGTCCTCGCAAGCTGCGCCGCAGTGCGGGCATCTGGCCGGCTTGCCCCACTTCGCCGCCACCGACTCCGCGACGACGTTCCCAGACAGCACTGCACGCAAGGCCCCAGCCGCGTCGATGGCCCCCGACTCCAGCAGCCGCCTCGTCGCCCAGCGGTCCATTCCGCGCGCGACATGCGCGAAGTCAGCCCGTCTGCCTGCCAAAGCAGCCGCCTCCCGGCGCGCCCATGCCTCCAGGAGCACGGCTCGGGTGGCCTGCAGCGGTTGGTCGGCCGGGCGCCACCCGTCGGGGCTAGCTGGGACGCCGGTCCAGTGCGCCACGTCGGCGCCGAGGCGGAGCTGCGCTAGGCTCCATGCGGCCGCGGCGACCGGCCCAGCTCCGCGGCCGTGCCCGGCTGCTCGGGCCCCCTCCGTTGCCCGCCAGAGCGCCGAGGGAAAGCGCCCTCTGCGGAGCGCCTTCGCCGCCTGCCACAGTGGCGCGAGGGCGACGACGGCCGCCGGGTCCAACCGCCAAGTCGGGCTCAAGACCCCGAACACCACTTCGGCGGCTGCCCGGAATCCGCCGCGGCAGACAGCCTGCCGCGCCGCCGCACGCAGCCCGGCCAATTCCCTCGCGGGGGGGCGGCCGCACGACGCGCCGTACAGCTCGGCCGCGGTGCCAGCAGCAGCGCCCAGCATGCACCGATGGCGGAACTCCAACGGGAGGCGCCCGACCCGGGCGAACCGCGCCCCAGCGGCGCGCGCCTTGGTGCCGGCGACGGCGCAGCGGGGTACCTGGCCGGCGGCCGCGACCACCCCGAGGTCGCCGAACTGGCGCCCAGCAGGAATCAGAGGGGTCTGGGCCGCCAGCCATCGGCGGAGCGCAGCGGTATTGGCGAACTGCCGGCTCTTATCGCGATTGAGCCTCCAGCCCATGGCGAGCTCAAACTCGGCGGTGATGGCCAGCGCGCCGGCGACCGACTCGGCCACCTCGCCGGACTCGTCTCGGCCGCCCCGCGCCCAAAGCGTGAAGTCGTCCACGTAGATGCGCCGCCGGAGCCGGTCGTCCAGCTCCCCCGTGCGCCGCTGCCACGGCAGCGTGAGGACGCTCAGGAAGAACAAGGCCAGCGCGCAGCCGGGCAGCATCCCGCACGCCGGCTGCCACGCCTCGCCGATGGCGCGCCCGACCCGGATCCGGCGCGCCGCCGAGTAGGCACCCAGCGCCGGGGCCGACACCCATTGAGGGACGCCGGCACGCGCCAAGATGCCTGGCAGGGAGGCCAGGTCGATGTGGTCGTACGCCTTCCGCCAGTCGAGCGCCGCCCCGGCGATGGTCTCGGACAGCGCCTCCGCCGCCTCCAGCTCCAGCGCGAGCTCCCAGGCCAGCTCCTCCGCGCCTCTCTGGACCTCCTCGCCGGTCCACCGCAAGCGCCACTGGGCGAACAGGCGGGCCCTACCTGCCGCCCACAGGCGGTACAAGATCGGCAGGAGCCAAATCGGGCGCCTGTCCATGGGGTCCGCGCTGCCCCCTGGCTTCGGGAGGAGGAGGCCCTCGGGCTCCACCAGCTCGCGCATCGGGAGGAAGGAGGCCTTCGGGAGGAAGGGCAACAAAGAGGAGCGAATCGAATCCAGAAAAGTGACCCACGCTGGGGCGAGAGCACCATTATCAACGACGGAAGCCAAGCGCCGCCAAGGGCGCCCCAGTCTCCTCCTCCTCTTCCTCCTCCTCCTCCATCGTCCTCCGCCTCCTGCCTCCTCCTCCTCCTCCTCCTCCTCCTCCTCCTCCACCCTCCTCCCTGCTCCTCCTCTCCCGCCCCTCTCCCTTCCCTCCCCCTCTCCCCTCCCTCCCCCTCCCCCTTCACTCCCCTCCCCTTCCTACAAATACTCGATTTGCGCGTTCGCCAGCGTGGGCTCCAAGCACTGAGGTATTGCGATGTGGGCAGGAAGATCATGTGAGGCAGGCTACGTGGTGGAAGCGACGTGGCGCAATCGTGTATGACGAACTTCAAATTGCCAGCACGATCACTCGAGCAACCATCCCTCCCTCCTCCCCGGAACTTGTTTGACAAATCCCGTTCGGTCACGATTACGATTGAACGTGGGCACTGGTTGGCGCATCTCTGCGGCTGCGCTGGTGCGCGCAAGCTCGCGCTCAGAGCGGCCAGCTTATTTACTTCAACTGCTGCGGCCGCGTTGGCGGTTGCCGATGGGTACTTACGCTTTTCACAGGCCGCGGTGGCCCGCGGGTACTTCAATGCGGATCGTGGATTGCGGCGGGCTTGATATCATGATGACGCCGACAAAGGTGGTAACGATGATGAAAGTGGTGGTGCTGAGGATGGTGGAGGTGATGGCATCAAGGTCAATGTCGGCGCCGATGCTGCTGACGACGATGGCGGTCATGATGTCATTACGCCGGTGGCGAAGGCGATTGACTGATGACTTCGGCAATGGCGACGATTGACGATAACGCGAATAGCGGTGATGATATGACGCTGATGAGGGCAATCGTGAAGAAGTGCGTTGGCACGGAAATGCAAAATCTTGGACGACTCTTGAGAACCAAGCAGTTGTATTGTTTCATATGTGTTTTGGTCTGTATATTGGAACGCTTCGGCGACCAATGGCTTCGGAAGAAGTTCGACAGACGCGCGCGTCTGGCCCGCATGGCCCCATTCGATACGGATCCGTGCAGTGGGCGCATGCTGGATCAACGCGGGTGCACCGCGTGGTGAGATCATAATGTGGGATGTGCACGATGTTCTTGAAGCCAGATCGTTTCACATTCGAGTTGCGAATGCGTTTGTAGCACGAATGCGTTTGGTATGGTTTCGGCATGTGCGGGCGGGTGTGGATGCTGTGCGTTTGTTTATGCACACGGATCCTTGCAATGTAATATTTTCAATTGGAAGAAGGTTCGTGCATAGCCTTGATGGAACGGACGTTGGGGGAGATAATTTGATGGTTGGCATGTTGCGAGTCGTTGGTAGGATGCCTCGATTGCTCTAACAACTGCTTGCCAACCTCTCTCCAGGAATCAGCATGTGGCCCCTCGGGCCTGCGAAACAGCTCGGCATGCCATCCCATCCCTAGCTACTTCAGCACAGTCAGACAGAGAATCGAAGGGCCCACAGGAACGCGAAAAGCCCCGAAGAAGGCTCCGAGAAGGCCCAGGGAGCGGGCCCACCAGGAAAGGTCCCCAAACAGGCGGATCATAGCTCACAACGCTAGCGACAGCCAGGCTTACCGTGCGGAGCCCCGCGCCGTGAGTGCCACGACCCCCCGGGGCATCCCCGAAAAAAGCATTGAGCCTTTTCTGAGGTACCAGCTCCCAGACAACCCCCCTCCGTAGAGGCTCCGAGCAGGCTGCCTCCGAGGGAAGACTCGCCCGAGGGAGGGGAAGGGGTCTGGGCCCAAGGAGCGGGGATTGAACCCTTCACTGGAAAGCAGGGAACCGCTTCAGATTCAGCAGTGGCCTGGGGCAAAAGCCCACTGAAGTCAGCATATGCCTCGGAGGTGGAACTGGCGTTAGCCGCACATGTCCAACTACGACGAAGAGGTGTCTCTCGCTTTTTGTCCCACCTCAAACGAACATCCGACTCGCACAGGTTGGCTTCATGGTTGCGCCCTCGCAAAGCAGCCCGTCACGATGGACATGTGCAGCAGCTCCGAAAGCTGCCTGCCCTTCTTCGCGTCCCGAAGATCGTGGGTCATGGGCTGCCCAGAGGCCAGGCCCGTGCCTTGCCCAAGACCCCCACCACAGGAACGAGACGCTGGATGTTGCCACTGCCGAAGCTCGATGGTCCGTGGAAGCTCGTCCAAAAAGCGGGCCCGCCTGGCCCGACGCCTCGGAATCACCGCCTTGGCACTGCCACGCTTGCGTCTTCGAGGAGCCGCCATACGGCACGCAAAAAGCCGTCATACGGCACCACCCGCGCAGTAGGCGAGGTCGACGTCCACCCCGCCCCCCAGCATCTACGGGGTCACTGAAGTCATGGGCCCACGGATGGGCAGCCTCCTCTGACTCATTGGCAGCCTCGTGAGGGGCGCCACTGTTCTGGGCCAAGCACGCACAACGGACGGCCGAAACTGAAGATCGGATAATCACACGCTCGGCCATTGCGAAAGACATTGACGTGGAAGTTGCAGTCCAGGGCCGCTGCCAGGCAGCCGAAGCGCCAGCAGCGTGGTGAGGCACCTCCCCTGCTTGGCAGATCCCGCCGCCGCGCCGAGCCGCTTCCGCTGAGCCAGCTTCGCCGTGCCGAACTGCCCGTAATTACACGTGATGCCCGTAGACGGCGGTTGTTTGCGGCTTTGCTCTCTGGAGTTTGGCCGACACCGCCCAGCGCATGGCAGCCTGGATTAAGCGCCTGAACCGCCCGTGCGCCTTGCTAGACCTGAGCGCCCGCTGCCTGACCGTCGCTCGGCCTTGCCGCTTGCCGCAAGACAAGCCCACCCCCAGGTAGGCCGTCTGCAGCACGGCACGCAGCGTGACGCCCTGTTTCCTGAGGACGCGCTCCACCACTTGCGCGTCGCCGCTGTGGGAGCACACAACCACGCTCTTGCCGGCGATCACCAGCTGCAGCTTCGAGAAGAGCTTGATCATCGCCAACACCCCTTTGATGAGCGTCGTCCTCACATGCTCTCTCGACCCCGATACACGTTGAGAAGGGTCGTCGATCCAAATCCGCTCGCTCAGCGGGACATGCGCCTCGCAGAGCCGCTCGCACACGTACGCCGTGAGGCATTTAGCGAGCCTGGTCCCGCTCCTGAGCCCCTGCACCACCGAGCGCGTCGCCTGGAAGGGCTCGCTGCAAGAGTCAATATGCTCCAACATGCGAGGCTCCAGGCAGATCTGGAGCTTAAGATACAGTATGACCGTGGGGAACCCCTTGCGCAGCGCACAGAGTGCGAGGGGCTCCCATTCAATGAAATCGTAAACAGAGGCGAAGTGGATGATTGGATGGGGAGCGAGAGGGGGAGGAGAAGGAGGAGAAGGAGGAGGAGGAGGAGGAGGAGGAGGAGCAGGACACGCAAATGGGGCGCCCTCCGAGGAGCAGCTAGAGCTGTTCATGTCCAGCCCTACCGCGTTCCAGTCGACGGAGTACGCAAAGAAGGCTGCTGCGCGAGGGGGGCGGGAACGGGAAGTCGCGAGACCGTGTTCATTATTGCCTGGAAGTTTGGCTTAATGTGTCGCTTCGCCAGGTCTGGCCCACCACTTTCTGGCGCGACGCACCATCCACTTCCAGGTCCCCTGGCGTCAACGTCCCGAGTTTTCCCCAGCATCTCGCCCTGCAGAGCGGAACGACACATTGTCGAAGGATTGCAAAAAAACCCTAGAGCGAAGGATTGCAAGAAAACCCTTCGTCCCCTGGCGTCAACGTCCCGAGTTTTCCCCAGCATCTCGCCCCGCAGAGCGGAACGGACACGCTGTCCACTTGCAGGGTACATCATGTCGCTGGTGCCGTCGCCGCGACACGCTGCACAGACTTGCCCGACCGCGTACGTTCCCTAGTTCTCATCGTACCAGTCATCTTACTACCTGGCTACGGTAGGTTTGCGTCGTGTCGACCAGCGGAGACCCCAGCGCGGGCGTTCAAGGTTGAACGCCGCCGGCGACCCAGAATCGATCGATGTTGAACGATCGGACGTTGCGGCAGCGGCCGATCGTTCAAGGTTGAACGATCCCTGCGGTGTCAAAAACCAACGCTGGGGTCGGCACGACACGAACCTGCCGTACCCTGGCTACGCCAACGTCCTATTCACCCACCAATCATGGCACGTCAAGTATGACCCGCAGAACACGAGACCCACAAACGCTTCGCAAGTCGTTCTCAAATTATTTACGCTTCGCGCATCCCCACCAGCCCATTCAGGAGCGCTGCCCATGAGCGCTGCCGGGAAATGGGAGGAGGAGACACGCATAGTGAGCCAGTGCTGGCAATCATGGTGAATTGAGGATGCGGAGGAGGAGGGCGAGGACGAGGTGGAGGAGGAGGAGAAGGACAAGAAGGAAGAAGAGGAAGTGGAAGACAAGGACGATGCGGACGACGAGGGCAAGGACGAGGAGGAGGAGGAGGACGAAGACGAGGACGAGGAGGAGGACAAGGAATATGACGAGGACGAAAAGGATGAGGAGGATGACGAGGAATATGAGGACGAGAACTCAGGCAGCCACCTGGGAGTCTTCTGGCTCGCTCGGGATCCTCTTGCGGCTCTTCCGGGGCCCTCTTGCAGCTCCCTTCGGGTTCTTGTGTAGGATCTAGGGATCCTCTTGGGCTCTGTTGGGACTCTCTTGGGGCCTCTTGGGAGCCATGGAGGGCCTCCTGGGGCCATCTTGGAGGCCATCAGTCAAAGGTGGACAGGGTCCCCGATCTAGGTCCCCCCTCTGGGGCCCTTAATACCATCTCTTGGAGTCATCTTGGGGCGTTCTTGAAGCGCTCCTTGGCGCTCTTGTGGCCGTCTGGGGGCCCTCTTGGGCCGCTCTTGGGCCGCTCTGGGATGAGGCCTCGTTGGGAACGTCCAGTCCATCGTGGGCAGCATTGAGGGCACTTCAGGGGCCTCTGGGATGTTGAAGTCAGCTTGCGGCCTTGATGGTCCAAACTGGGCGATTTGCGCGGCATCCCGGGGCCTGGGTTTGTCACCATGGGGCTGTCTTGGGCGATCTCGGGGGCTCTCTGGGCCGTCATGAAGCGATCGTGGGACGCCGTGGGGGTAAAGCATGAGACAAGCAAATCACACGGAACACAGCAAATGTTTCAGTACGTTCTCCTGTCGGAGGCGTCTTAGGGCCCTCCTCTGCCATCTTCGAGGCATCGTGAGGCCATCTTCGGCCGTCTTGAGCTCCTGAGGCTCTCTTCGGATCCTCTTGGGATCGCCCTGGAGGCGTCTGTGGCCCACCATGCCGTCTAGTGGCATCCCTTCCGGGAATTCCTGGCAATGTAGTGCGGCTAGCAGGCTGAAGACGCCCTCCACCCCCCCACACCAGGTAGTTGTCTTGAGCGATCGGGCCGTCGGGTCCCCCATTGGGAGAGATCAGAGGCACAACCACAAGACAGCCCATTGAACAAAAGGCAGCCGTCCAGCAGGCCGCTTTGCAGCTTTGCGCCCTCAAGGGGTGCAGAGGATAATATGTCTTCTCATGTCGTCTCTACTACGGAGACCTCAGCAGTTGGACAGCAGACCCGCATCTTCTGTCGCGCACATACGTGCCAAGGGCAAGCTGTCAGACCATTCTGGATGAGGCGAAAATCGTTCAAGGATGTGGGCGAGGGACGGTGAGGAGCAGGAAACTGGCGAGCACGACGACCTGAAAAGGGCCTCGGGGCCGCCCTGGCGCCCCATCCGTTCTGAATTGAATCCTGAGTGGTACAGGCGCCGGTGCCTTTGGCCGAAGGGTCGGGGTCCCCTCCCCCTTGGTTCCTCACCCTCGTCCTCCTCAGCATCCCTCTCCCCTCGATCTCCCCCTTTCGCTTGTCCTCCCCATCTCCTCCTTTCCCCCTGCCACACATTCCCCACGCCTGCCTTTCCCTTCCCACCTCCTCCCTTTTCCTTCTCCTTTCTCCATCCCTTCTTCTCTGCGTCCCTCCCGCGGCACTTGGTCTCCTTCCCTCCTTTTCGCTTTGAGCCACCCCTGGGCGAGCCTGAACAAACATACGTCGGGTGAGAGGAGTCCCGAGTTCAGCGTATGTAGTTGAATCAAGGCGAAGAGGGGTGAGAGGGGAAGAAGAGAGCAAGGAGGGTGAACAGCAACAACATGCAAGCAGCACACGAATGATGATCAGCAGATGTGGGGGATGAGAGGGGACGCAGGATGAGCGATAGTTGGCGGATCCAGAAAGGAAGGGGAGGTCGAACGATGCGTCCCCTCCTCGCCACTCCAGAGCACGGCCTCCGCAAGGCCAGCGAGCTCGCGAAAGCCTCCAAGATAGTAGAAACGTACGACGAGCTGCTCGAGGTCGCGGAGGAGATCGAGGACACGGCGGAGATCGTGTCCGCGGGCGGCGAGATGGCAGAGTTGGCCCAGGAGGAGCTCGCGGGGCTGTATGAGCGGAGGAATGCACTGAAGGAGACCCTGCAGGTGTCGATGCTCCCGAAGGACCCCCGCGACGAGGCCAGCAGCGCCCTCCTGGAGATCAGGCCCGGGGCGGGCGGGGACGAGGCCTCGCTCTGGGCCGAGGACCTCATGGGCATGTACAAGAAGTTCTGCGAACTGGAGGGCCTGGAGTGCAAGGTGTCGGGCGAAGAGAACTATGCACATGCACCGATCCTGGCAAGGCCCATCCTTGACCCAGGATCGGTGCATGTGCCTTCCTGGCCAAGGCAGGAGGGCGTATGCACCGACCCTGGGCTCAGGATGGGCCTGGCCAGAATCGGTGTATGTGCATAGTTCTTTTTCCTCTAAGGTGGTCTCGTTCAACCGGAAGGAGGGCGGGGGTCTCTCGGACGTGTCCCTGGCCATCAAGGGCGACGAGGTGTACTCGAAGCTGAAGTACGAGGCGGGCACGCACCGCGTGCAGAGAGTGCCGGCCACGGAGGCGGCGGGCCGGATCCATACGTCGACGGCGACCGTGGTTCTTATGCCAGAAGTCGAATCGGGAGACGTCCTGGAAGACTTCAACGAGAAGGACATCGAGTTCCAGTTCGTGCGCGCCGGCGGAAAAGGCGGGCAGAACGTGAACAAGGCGGCAGGGGGGAGTCACTGCGACAAGTCGACTAGTCATTGCTTGTAAATGTGCAGGGGGCGGGCGGGAGATCGCAACTCGCAAGAGGGGAAATCGCACTCAGCAGACCACTGAATTCTGAATGCAGTCCATGGTGCACGCGCACGCGCACCTCTTCGGAAATAAAAAACCAAACCGCGGGGCCACAGGCTGCCGCAATCGGCCTGGGCGCAGGGGCGCGCACTGTGGCTCTTTTTGTTTCCAATCATCATGTGATGGTGGGCCCTCGTTTTAGAGAGACAGCGCCCGCGTTCCTCCCTTCCTTCCTCCGCTCCTCCTCCCCCTCCCTCCTCCGCCTCTGTGCCTCTGCCCTCCGCATGTTTCTGTTTCGGTACACCCTTCTCACGCTTCGTGGCCCCATAGCCCATAGGGAGCTCCACCGAATGCTCCAGGGGCAGGGTTCGCATGGCGGACCCGGCCCATTTCAGCACACTCCTCACACGTTTCGTGGCCACATAGGGAGCTCCACCGGATGCTCCAGTGGCAGGGTTCGCATGGCGGCCCCGCCCCATTTCGGAACACCCCTCACACGTTTCGTGGCCCCACAGGGAGCTCCACCGAAGGCCCCAGTGGCAGGGTTCGCATGGCGGCCCCGCCCTATGTCGGCACACCCCTTGTACGTTTCGTGGCCCCACAGGGAGCTCCACCGAAGGCCCCAGCGGCAGGGTTCGCATGGCGGCCTGGCCTCCAGTTTGGCACACCGCTCACATGTTTCGTGGCCCCATAGGGGCTCCGCCGAAGGCCCCAGTGGCAGGGTTCGCATGGCGGCCCCGCCTCATTTTGGCATACCACTCGCACGTTTCGTGGCCCCATAGGGAGCTCCAATGCAGGCCTTAGTGGCAGTGTTCGCATGGCTGCGTCGCCTCCATTCCGGCCCACCCCTCACACGCCTCGCGGCCCCATATAGAGCTCCGCCGAAGGCCCCAGTGGCAGGGTTCGTATGCCTTCTTCCTATTTTGGCACAACCGTCACACGTTTAGTGGCCCACAGGGAGCTTCGCCGAAGGTGCTTGTCAGCAAGGCCTGGCAGAAGTTGCTGGGCTGGGTTGTGTACTTTTAGCGAGCCCCGGCGAGTGTGCGCGGGGCTCGAGTGGGCGCGAGGCTCGTTTATATACTGTATACACTTGTCACGAGTTCCGACCAGGGTGTGTGCACATTGGCTGTGTCTTTTTCCGCTCGGGCCGACGCGCTTCTTCTGAAAATTGTTCTCTTTAGCTGTTCCGGTTTTTGTTGTCGGGCTTCCTTTGGTCTTCGACTTGAGTTCGGGCCCGTGCCTTTGGGCCAATGGCTTCGGACTCGAGGTGACTGTTCCTGGCGGCTTCGGACATCAGTTCGCGCGTGGGCTTGGGCTTGGTCCGGGCAGATTCGGAGTCCAAGTTTTGGGCGTGCTTGGGCCCCGGCGGCTTCGGAAACCAGTTTCCGCACGTACGCAGGCCCGGCGGCGTCGGATCAAAGTGTGCGCTTGCCTTCGGGTCCTGGCGGCTGAAAAGTTTGTGTCGTTTCGGTTCCAGCAGCTTCGAATTCAGTTGTTTCTTTCGCGCCGCCTCGTCCCAGGAGTTGTGTCTGTTTCAAGTCGTGCTCCAGATGCACCAGGGTCCCGATTTCTTATGTGAGCGCCTGTCTTGGAGAGTGTGTGCGTTTGTTTCTACCGCCGCGCTCGGGCTTTTCGAGAATAGCAGAACATATGTCTTGAGTTGCTGTTCGTTGAGATACCATGTTTGTTTTCCAGGGTCTCGATTATTGTTTAGATACAATAAGAAACTCAGCCGATTCGATCTTCCGCATTCCGTAACAATGGTATCCTTCCGCGAAACATCCACGTGTGCAGTATGGCCCCGTGCTTGGGGCTTGTGGTCTGCATTGTGCTCCGCTAGCTCTCCCTGGTCTTCCTTTTCCCTCCTCTCCCCCTCTTCCCGTCCTTCCCTGCCTCCCTCAACGTCTGCCTGCGCCCATGCAAGCCATTCAACAGGTCTTCCTGGCACCAGCCCGCCCTACCCTGAGAGGCGGGCGCCGTCGGCCACGCGGCCTTTCGGCTGAGGCTGCGCGCGCGATCGGACAACATGCTTCTCGG